AAAAAAAAGTATGAAAAACTTTGAGCTTTTGTATTTTCCCCTAGATCAATAGCAATCAGCCGAAATTGTTTCAGATTCCGGCTCGGGTTTAATAACGCATAAAATGTCATCCAAGAGGGAGGCGAGATTTTCATCGCACAAAAACCACTCATCCTGTTTACAATCTCTCTCCTCGAAATCAGAGCATTTAATTGTTGCGAAGAACTCCTTGGCACTAACATTCTCAAATCGCCGATAATAGAATGGATGGATGAGTCGTCGTTCATTATCTGCACACAATTGACTTGACGCTGTAGGCTCAGATTCCCCCTGTATTTGCATTTTTTGCTCATATACCTCCGCCAACAAATTTATGTCTTTTGCATCGAGTATGGATTCGATAATCTCATCAGTATCGAGAAATTCTAAGGTTTCAGGATTACCACTTACGAAGTCTTTAATATTATTTTCCATTTTTAATGATGAAGGAACAGCATTTTCAAGCATTGGGCCATCTTGCATTGATAGATCGTCTTTAATATTTGACTTTGACGCTGGTGGCGATGTAGATACTTTGCTGTTATTGCCCAAATTTTTCTGGTTACTTCGATTACTCGTTGATACTTCCGTTTCTGCTAAAGCGTCATAATCATACTCCTTCAGTTTGCCTAACATTTTTTTAACAAGGACTTTAGCTACCCGGATTACTGCCACATCGCAGTCCTCACTTAGGCACTTCAGTATAACAGCGAAGAAGCCACGATGTGAAAGATCGTTAAGTATTTTGGAAAATCGTAAACGAATTTCTTTTTCATTCAATTGAACAATTTTCCTTTTCTCTTTAGAGAAGGTCACTGTTGGAAAGGTACCATCGATCATACCCTCATCACTCAACATGTTGTGGATTTCACTTTTCCAGCATTTTAAGGCTTCGACTTTTACCTCCCAATGCAAGTCATTAAGAACGCAATAAGAAAGGGTCGAATAAAAAGTATCCCTATAACGACTGGGTATTTTGCGCAATTCATTTAACCTGGTAAGAGTGTGTAAAGCTTCTTTGCGAACGATTCCTTCTGGATCATTATAGAGCACGTCAAATAAATGATCCTAAAAAAAAATTTCCAGTATTGTAATAAAAACTAAATCCTAAATTTATAACGATAAATTTTTCTTTGTAAGACTCACTGGTACATTCTGTTTACTTAAATCCATCTCCCATATCCCATTAATAGCTACAAGCTCGGCGATACATTTTAGTGCAGAAGCGCGCACATAAGGTTCCGCATCATGTTTAGCCATATCGTATACAACCCGGCACATCCAATTTTCGGCTAAGATTTTTTGAAAGGCAGGATATTCTGTATTAAGAAATTTTAAATAAATAACAAACACCTAATGGATGGACCATGTCCTTACTCAAACGAGATATGTCTGCAATTGAGATAACAAGCTCTAAAATGCTATCCCGCACCTCCCAGGCGGAATCATGGCTGCGTTTCATGATAACAGGGCCCATTATAATCAAGCTAGAACCTTGGAGGTTATCTACAAGCAGCGCCATATTCGGGGAGAGGTAATGTTCTATTGAAACTTGTAGCAATTTAAGCGATTGAACGGTAACCTGTAAAGAGGCAAACAAATTATACATGTATTTACAGCAGTTAGTTATTTCATTTCCTACCTTAGTGGGTAAATCATCAACCTGAAGCAGATACAGTAAACAATTGACCAAACAAATAGTCTCAATCGAGTCTTTCCACGTGATTTTAAATCGTTCAATTAACGTTTGCATTGATACTAAAATAGCGTGCACAACACTGGTAAACTCTGCGATAAGTGAAAAGCTTGGTATGTCTTTCAATGTGTAAGGGCACTCCTCTTCTTGATGGTCCAAAATACTCGGATATACCGACATCATAAACTGTTTCAGTGCATATATACAGGCTTGAAACGCAAGCACAGCCTGATCTCGTTCCAATTTGTCTACCACTGACATAATCCCATAAATTGCTTTTAAAGCTAAATCTGCAATCATTGGCGATGACATGTTGAAAAGCACGTCGCGAAAGGCGTAACCGATGCGAAGTGTTAATTCACATATTATTTCGAATACCTTTGATAAATACTTTTCAAAGATTTCTTCTTCGACTAACTCGTGTGAATGTATAAGCGAATACAGTGGCATCAATTGAAATGAGATTAGTTGATTTTCGAAACGTACAGACTCATTTTCGATGAAAACCTCTTTAGGAACCCGAGTACCTAGCTTTTTCCACAATTTATGATTGATTTCGGCTATTTTCAGAAAGCTTACACAGTACTCTTTCGAAACGCAAAATTTCATTTGATTGAATATCGCAACGCCGAGCTCATTGAAACTATCCGGAGAAATCTGATCCCCATTGCATTTATCATATAACAATATTGCAAAATAGTACGATGATAACACTGCCAATATTTTACATAAAAAATGTTCATTATGAGACATTTCGGTTAGCTTCCAAAGCGTGATTTCAATGTCGTACTCTGTCTTGCAGTAGTTTGCAATGTTAGTTTTCTCTTCTGATTCGAGCGTTTGTTGTAGTATGAACGAGATTAGTTCCAATGTTGAGGAAAGCTTATGTTGCAATTCATGATCATCAACAGAAATTACGATGTTCTCATTATGATTATCAAATACATTCTCGTTGACAGGTTTAAAGATCTCCTTCAAAATTTCTTTAACCACATCAGCATCCTTCGTTTTTACATCGAATTTATAGAGCATCTCGTACAGCAAGTGACGCGCTTCACGCACCACATACAATGTGTGATCTTGATTACAATATTCTATAAGAAACTGCCATACTTTCATGGAACGTAAATAACCTAAACCAATGCTGTATTTAGATACTGCTTGCAGTAGCCGAATAATCCCTAATTTGATAGATGGATTGAAAAAGTGCGAATCACGCTTCACTATGGTTAGTATTCTAAAACGAGAAGAATTGCCGAAAGATATTTGCTTATTGCTAAGTAATTAAGGTGATGATGCTCACTTGTCCATTAGTCGCCGCTCCCTTATTTCAATGACGGTCCATTCGTTGGTAGTAAGTAAACCAAAAAAATTGAAAACAAATGAAATTACTTTAGGATTCAACTTGCTTATATCCTCATATATAATGTTTATGCTGCGATCAACATATTCCAACGCAAACGGCGCCTGCAGTAGGTAAGCGTTATCTATAATTTTGTAAATATTATTGAGGGAACATTAATGGATGCTATTGATATGAAACCACCTACCTTTGGCAGCTAAGTGCGATATGAGTTTTTCAAAGTAAACATTATTCGTTGTGACGAAATTCACATCGAGAAAACATTCGAAAATGCGCTTCAAGTTTGTAACTATTTCCAGCTGGGTTTCCATTTTGCAATTATTTATATATATCCATTTGCAGTAATTGATTTGTGTTTGACAAAGAACATTTGGTAAATGTCACGACGTAAATGTGTTTACTGCATTTAAATGCAAAATGTTGTTTGCAATTTGTTATCACGGATCTCGCTATTCCACAAAAAACAGGTGTAAAATAGTGATGGCATGGTTAATCGACTTACCGATTATAATCGGCTATTTTCCTTCGCTTAACGATTTAATTGTATCGAAATTTTCCTTTCGAATAATCGAGCGATTAACCGATTAATTTTGAAAATAATCCAAAGAAACCATCGAAAATTTAGTGCATCACACAACATATCACATAATAATGTATGAGTAAATATTACGTAAAACTATGTTCACATTACCAACGTAAAATACTTAGTTTCGTTTAAAATACCTCACAAAATTAAGTGCGTTCATACACGCGATTCTTTATTTGCCTTGACAGCTTTGTAGCAACCCTGTGTTATTGTTTATTTAACCAAAAGAGATCGCGAATGTGAGTAATTGCGTATATTTTTATATTCTGAGTTGTTTGTGGTAATTTTTTAGATTTTAGATGAGTGATCAAAAGAGAAAGCTTCTGGAAATATTTTACAAACTACCACGCGCGATTATTAAAAACAAAACAGTCCAAACACAATGACATATCAGTTATGGGATACTTTTTTCGATTATTATCGATAAAATTAGAGCCGACACTGATTTGTTCGTGATTTGGTTCTTGGTTTAAGATAAACTACGTACTTTCAACTTAATTTACTGAGAGACTTTACAAAGCGAAATTACTTAGTTTGTACTTAATTTATGCGTAAATTAAGATTGACCTCTAAATTACGCCAATGGGAACATAGTTTAACAAAAATTGGAACTCTTATTACTCAATAATATTAGCAACAATAAAAATGTCACCCCACTCAGTACATACATACATACATATGTAAAATTTTATAAGTTGGGAGGCCTTTTACATTCTCGTATTCTGCAAATTTTTGCGAAAAAACGCCACACAAGCTTAACCTAAGTAGCTACCAAAAAATCACAACGCAGGTATGCACATATTTTCATTTCATTTTCCACACTCAGTGCTGCGCATTTTCTTCGTTTTTATATGGAAGAAAACAGGCAACACCGTTACCAAAAAGAAAACATATACAAATCAACGGTCTTGCAATTTTAAAAAAAATTAATTAATCATGGGCTACAAAACTGCAAACTAAAAATCTTTCTAATAAATGTAATTAAAAAGCTCGAATTTTTTGTTGATTTTTTTTTTATATGGCACAAGGTTTGATATATTTATATGGGAAATTTTCCAATAATGGACCAGGCTTTGAAAAAAAAATGAGGGGGTTTAGAGCGGCTTTTTGTGATTCTAAATCTGATTCTAAATTTTCAAGATATATGGAAGTATTGGATTTTTTAGAAAAGAGCGCCTCAGGCGAAAATTACACATTGTACACAATGCCCAAACCCGGTTCCCGAACCGATTTCTGTTAGTGCATTTGATACCAAACCAAAGAATGCATTTACAACTTGTGGGAATACGCACCAGTTATCGGGAAAATCGATGCAACGCTTGCATCTTCAGTCGAAGTAGGAGCAACTTTTTCTGAAACTTTGACATTTTTATTTAATTCACTAGCTGAACACGTATTTATTTATTCTTAATAAGAATATAATCAAGTTTTCGTAAAATTTGTTTGGCATAAAACAGACCTAGTAAAATACATACAAGAAAATAGGAATATAGATGCAGAAGAATCTACTTGGCAATTACATTTCGGGATAATAAAGCAAATGTAACCTTTTGGAACATATATATGCATGGAATCTTCATGGAACCCAAAAATATATAAATGGTAATTTAGGATATTGGCATTTGCGCATACTATGGACAATAATGTAGAGGGTGCGAGACAAAACGGCAGCAACAAAAGCAGTAACATCACGGCCAGCACAGTAACAGCAACGAAGGTTAATAGCAGTAATATTGGGGTCATCACCAACATTGGTAGCAGCGGTACAAATTCATCATTTTGGAAGAACAGTGGGCGATTGGTGCCAGGACGTCCAAGCCCTAAGCGCGGTGACGACACGAGTTTAATCAGCAGTAGTGTTGACGGAGTTTTGGTTCGTTCAAGCGGTGGCAAAAGTGACGGTATGGTATCCACATTTCGTGATTATCAGCAGTCTGTAAGCGATGCTTGGGACACAGGTGATGACGAATTCTGCATAATGTCAGGAGCAGCAGCAAGTGCTGCTGCGGCAAATGGTAGGTGTAAAATAAAACTGCATGCGTTATTTTCTAATGCAATTTATAAATTTTTTACAATAACTTTGATCACCACATTTTGCTAGATTCGCGAATATCAAAAAAAGTGTCGCAAACAGCGGCGTTGAATGTTATTGAAACGCATCGAAATTCAGCAACCACTTCCACCGTACGCTCATCAGCAGCTACTTCAACCGCAGCTACATCGAGTGCAGCAAACGCGAAATCAACAAGAGTGCCAACCGTGACAATAAAGTCAGAGCAGCAACTACAACGCCACAGATTGCAGCATTCAATCAGTCAAACAAGCGAGGAAGGAGCTCCATCAAATGACACGAAGAACGATACTGAAGCAAGGTAATAAAGATAATTGTACTTAAATAGCCTTTTGTGACTACGAACGTACTGAAATACTCTTTTAATTATAGAATGAAAGTTGTGCGCAATTTTCATGCATATCCGGGACGACCACAGCTACAGAAGTTTAGTTCAAATGCGCAAGAAACCGAATATGAGACTAAAATTGAAAAATTCCAACTGTTGCTAGGGTCGCCACTTTTAGATTTGGTGGCGCTAAAGAAGCTCAGCTGGTCGGGGGTACCAAAGAAGGTATGTGCAACCTCTGTAAAATCGGAATTACATGTAACGTTGCTGAAATCCGCTCAATAAATCAACCAATTACTATTTCATTACTTTTATTTTGGCAGATGCGTGCAGTTAGTTGGCGGCTGTTATCAAAATATTTACCACCAGCTGGGGAGAGGCGCGATGCCGTGCTCGAAAGCAAGAGACAGGGCTATCAGGATTTGCGGCATAATTATTTTAGAGTCGACAGCCAGGACGAATCGCAACAGGACACCTACAGGCAGGTGTGTAATGAGAGTGGTTTTTGAGCCAATTGCATTTGAATAGGAAATTAAAACTTACAGCTGCCTAACGTCGTTTAAAGTACAAAACCGCGTATCGTTATTCTGCAAAACCGCGTAACTGACAAAAATTGGATTTGCTCACACAAGCTCTTGGCTCAATCCTTATCCATTCGTCCTAAAATATACTAGCCAGAAATGCGTTTGCTTTATAAAAAAGAGAACCATTTTGAAATATGGGTATTTTTACTCTTACTTGCATTATCTTGGTTTGTTAATACGCGGTTTTGTACTTTAAACGACGATATATATATGTATTAAAGGGCTGCAAGAGTTAACTCATGAATTCATCCCATAACTCAAGTCTAACTCAACAGCGGCGCTAGACTCGAGGTAACTCACGAGTTGATTCTTGCAGCCCTTTAGAATGTATATGTATATTTTTTAATTAATAAACATTGAAAATGTTCTATTTAGATACATATCGACGTGCCCCGTATGAATCCACAAATATCACTATTTCAACAAAAGCTCGTGCAGGAAATGTTTGAGCGAATTTTATTCATTTGGGCCATACGTCACCCAGCCTCGGGATATGTGCAGGGCATAAATGATTTGGTGACCCCATTTTTTATTGTGTTCTTGCAAGAAGTATTGGAGCCAGGTAACTTAAATAAATATAATCGATTTAATGCGGTTAAATCGGAATTTTTTCCCTCAAATAGGCACCGATTTGGAAAAATTCAATATTGATAACCTATCAGTGGACAAAAGGGACGCCATTGAAGCAGATTCATTTTGGTGTCTCTCCAAATTTCTAGATTGTATCCAGGACAACTACATATTTGCGCAATTAGGTATACAAGAGAAGGTAAATCAATTAAAGGATCTTATACAGCGGATTGATGGTACGTTAAGAACAAAACATTCGCGTGTCCAGAAAAGCTGTAGTATGATTAATTTTAGGAAATCTGCATCGCCACTTGCAAGCACACGGCGTGGACTACCTACAGTTTTCGTTTCGTTGGATGAATAATTTACTAACACGTGAGCTGCCACTGCATTGCACCATACGCTTGTGGGACACATACCTCGCCGAGTCTGATGGTTTTGCACTCTTCCATTTGTATGTATGTGCGGCATTTCTATTACATTGGAAGGATAGATTAATGCAACAAAACGATTTTCAAGTGAGCTAGACTTTCGAATTAGTTCAGATTGGCGTTCGTAAGCTTTTATTTAACCACAAATGCATTTTTAGGGCCTCTTGCTGCTGCTACAAAATCTGCCAACCGAAAATTGGTCCGACCGTCAGATAAATGTTTTAGTTGCGGAAGCGTTTCGTCTCAAATTCACATATGCGGATGCACCAAAACACCTAGAAGTGAAAAGTTGACACCAGAAAAGAGAATATATTTACGAATACGTGGCATAGATTTGATTAATGTTATAAATGCAATTGTTCTAGTACCCTGAAAAAAACAGAAATTGGGTAAGGCAAACAATCACGAAATTAAATGATGTGCAACTGAATCAATAAGACAGACACATACAAACATATGGCATACATATAAGGTTATTATAATAATAATTATATATTATTACTAATACTTTGTATATATTACATCAAAATATTTAACTCAATGATGCATAAAAAAATTGTCAAAGAATTTATAATTATGTCGCATATATATATGTATCATAACACGGAACGTAAACAAAGTTGCAATTCTTTTATATAAATAATACAATTATAAATAAATTTAAAACAAGAAAGCAGCTCAACGAACGGAATTCAATTATAGCTGAAATACAAAAGTTGCGTTTGTTCAGGCCAATATTATAATTTTTTTATTTTATGTTATCTATTGCGCTTATTACTATAAAATTTTCCCCACCATAAAAGGCACTTCACATCTAAGTTTGCCGCTCAGTTAGATGCTTCAACTGTTTCAGCACAGTGTCCAACAGCTTCTTTTTGTCATTTTTACGTAACACTGAGAACATCGTTTTCTTATCTGCCTCGCGTATCTTT